TAAATAAGTTTATAATGCCGAAACAAAAAATATATCTTTTATAAAAAATAAAAACAGAATTGTTAACAATTATTTTTACATATTAGACATGTTTATTAATTAAAATTATCATAGAAATCGCAAAAAAATATTCCAACTTTGTTTTACACAAAATGAGTTACAAACAAACTAAAAAATAATCAAAAAGCACATTATAATAACTAAATGTAAATTTTAATTATTATAAAATTCCTTGGTTTTGTATTTTTATTTTTTTCTTTTAAAAAACATACAAAAACAATTGAAATTTAAGTACATAACGAAAAATCATGAGTATGGTTAAAAACCAATACAACGAATTAATGTATTGAATTTTTCCCGAAATATTTCACTTGTTTTTGTTTAAAATTGAAATAGAACATTTGAAATGTGTTGTTGATAGTATAATTTTATTCATTTCAAACTTGAAATTATAACTATTGTAAACAAAAATATGATTTTTATTGATACCTAAAATAACATTATTCAAAATTCAAGTGGTTTAAAAATCGGGAAATTTTGAGTTTATTAAATAAGTATATGGGTTTAAAAGTTAAATGTATGTGCATAAACAATACAAAAACCAAAATAGAATAAAAATCACAATTGAATTAATATCTATGTAAAAACAGGCCAAAACTAAAATAAGTGCTGTATTTTAAGTGTTATTGTTTTTTTAGTATTTTTCTGGCATACAATATAATTTAAGACTAATAATAAATTATAAAATCGGATTTTTTAATTAACTATAGAGAAAATAAACTATAGTTTAGTTTATTTTTAATATAGTTTTTTAATTATAATAAATAGTTTTTTCGAAATAATATTTTTTGTTTTATTTTTAAATTTTTTAACTTTTTAACCACATTATACATCCAAAAAAAAGAAAGCAAGAAATGTGGAGTTTGTTATTCCTTCTCTGGCCAATTTCCGAGTAATATCAACCAACCGGCAGACCATTTAATACAGTCAGTTTTTTAACGTTATCTGGTCTCAAACGTTATCTGGTGCCTTTTGGACCATAAAAAATGTAATAATTCGGGAAGCAGTCCCATCGCAATTGTTTCGGGTTTTTTCACGCTTTACCTAATACCCGATTTTTAGACAAAATGAAGGTATTTTTTGTCCACCAGATAACGTTAAAAGACTGACTCTATAGTTAATTACAGAAGTGTCATTGTCATAAGGCGATTAATACGTGAAACCGATTGATTTGGAAAGCAAAAAAAAAGATTGACAACCAGCATTTCTTTGAGGATGTCAAGTGGTAAAAAAAATAATAAAACAATTACTATTTATTTATGGTTTTTAATTAGCGATGGTCGATACTATATATTATAATATAAAAAAACTGATATAGTAAATTTCCTTGTTGTATTTTTGGAATATCGTTAATTAGGAATCAGACTTTATATCAAGTATATGTTAATTAAAGTCAAGTATATTATAAACAACAATATCTAATTTTCTACAAAATATGTTTTTATAACAATTAATATTATATATTTTAAATAATTAAAAAACAAATCAAATTAAAACGAAATAAATAGTGATGTTGTATTTGTTTGTTTTAAAACACTCAAATTCGTTTCAAAACATGACAAAATGAGTTTGATTAAATCAATTCAATTAAAAAACTAAAATCCATCTATTTAAAGAATTTTCTATTACAGTTAAACCTCTCATTAAGAAAATCCTCTCATTAAGAGACGTTTTAACCAATCAAAATAAAAAACACTTATTGGGGAAAAGGAAAATATAAAAATCATAAACAATATTGGGGGTTCTATTTTACCGTTTAATCTACTAATGAGAGGTTTTACTGTATTACATTTTTTGCCAAATACACAACAACTAAAAATCAAAACAAAAATATATACATGTTACAAATATATATAAACTTTTTAAAAATAAACTTTAAAACAAATGTAAACCAAAAAACACCCAATAATATTGATTTTGTTATATATTGGTAAATTTCAAAACACAATTGACCAAAAATATAATTCTGAATATTAAAAAAGTAACACAAATGTTTTACAATTGTTACTTGTTTTACAAACTTAAAAAATAAAGTTATTGAATTATAAATTGTAAATATCATGTTACATATACTCGATACAACTTTGAATTTTTCAAAAGAAACTTTTGGTTTAGTCGATGGTTATGCTTTTGTTGAATTCCATAAACGACAATACTGCATCTGTTCAAATGACAATTGTTGGATGCTTCGTCACAACTAAAGTATTCACAAAAGTAGTTTCAAATAATTAAATTAATAATGATTTAAAAACAAATGAAACAGAGCAATTAACTATAATTTATCTTAAATTTGTTGAAAACCATGAGATCTCAAGTTTCTTCAATCAGAGTTTTTGTAGAACTATTGTATTTGATTACAACAAAATGAAAAATGGGTTTTTTCATCAGATCAATAAAAAGGTTACTATTAAAAATTAAATCATCAAAAATTTTACTTCCTGATTTTAACACATTTAAACAATTTCAACAACAAACTAAATTGCCCGTTTCTTTATTGTTAAATATTAACATCCATGTTAATAAACGAAATGAAAGTTAGTATTGTAAGGATATAAATAAACAACAAATTGTCCAACCACAAAGTTTAGAAACAATATCCAGACGTACACAAGAAAAAACTATTTTTTCAATTCAAAAAATGCACAAAATTTCACCCACATCAAGTTACCACGGAATTTTCAATAAGTGACGAATCACCCATTTTAACTAATTTACAACAAACTCAACAACAAGAAAAACGACTAAAACCCTTGGAAGAATGTCTTGAGTCAACAAAAATATTATATGTCGTTTTTGAAAAACAATTATATATGTCTGAAATTCTTTCAATACTACAAACTCAAAAAAATAAACCATATAATTTCAGACGTTTGTATAACAAAAGAAATTATACAACCAGAACTTGCACGGACAAATGATACATCATTGTTATATTATTCGAATGATTCTCAAACAACGAGTGATACAGAATATTCAACATCTTCAATTAATGATTTTCAAACACAAAGTGATTCGTGTGAAAGAGCTTCTATTGATTACAGAGTTTCTAACAACAACTTTAATGATAATTCGAATTCTGATAATTTTTCTACTTTATCGGATTTTTGAGATGAAAAAATGAAATAAATAAACATAAAAAACAAAAAAAAACACAAAATGACACAAAAACAATAATTGTGAAATACAAGAACAAATAATTGTTGCAATTTTGAAATTCAGAAATGGATATTTTGTTGATTTAAAAAGGGAAGATATTTAAAAATGGGACAAAGAAGACGTGTTTTTCAATTTTAGAATATTTGTCAAATATGATGATCATTTTTCTTTGATCGATTTTTGGAATTAACCAATTATCTTATCAAGGAAAAAGAAAAGAATAAAAAGATAAATTATTAAATTCTGTCCGAAATAATAATTCTCTCGAAATACAAAACCTTTATAAAGGAACACTGAACACCTTTAAAAATAGACTATTATCTTTTTTTAATTAATGATTTTATGATCGAATCTAAATTTAGTGGAACACAAATGAATGGAATGTGCCAATGTCTTCGAATGGAAATTTGTATGTACACCTTTTTACATGACACGATTATTCATAACGTAGGATGCAGTCCAAAAGTGGTAAGGGGTCAAATGTATTCTCAAAATAAATAAATGATGAAACCAAATTAGAAGAAATAAAAACAGCAAAATTTATAACAGTTGCTACTTCTTCAACTAAAAAGGAGTTGAAATATTATCTGTTTTTTGAGGTATTTTTACAACGGACAAGTAAAATGCTTTCCTGTAATAATTAAACAATACAATCACAAAACAAATGGAATTTCAATGGCAAATTGGGGTTTTCGCAATTTGAAAAAAATGGGAATTCCTCTTCAAAATATCTGTCAGTGTGCTACCGATAGTGGTAAAAATGCAACTTCAATAAATTGTACAAGAAGAAAAATAAAAACTATTTTGCCATTAATTTGAACAATAACGTGTTAAACTATTTTAATATTAATGATGGGCAAATTGTGGATTAAATTTCAAAATGCTATTTAAATGTATGAATGTTATGTGAATTAATTACTAAATGAATTATTTTTTGTTTTTTTTTCTTTTTCGTGATTTAAATCAAATTAATAAAAATACAACATCTTATAAATAGTTTAAAACTGAAA